ACATGATCTATTGGAATTCTTTTCGGATGTTAATGGATAATGGATACCCTCTTCTTCATTCGTTTTCAATCATTGAAATAAAAAAAGTTGTTGGTGATGAAAATATTCCTCAATATAATCCAGCAAATACTAATAATTCATTTCTACCATCAATACAATTTGATCTTGTTTGGAATTGGAGAATAATGGATGACAGTCAACGATTTATTGGTAAACGTGGAACGAATTTAGATTAAACACATTTAATGATGATTAATGAAAAAAATACTATTGAAGTTATTATTTTATCAAATGGAAATAATCTACGTGTAAAAAGTCTTGGCACAAAAATTTTCTTTCATTTTCGACCGCTTATAGTTTGCAAAGGAGAGTAAAAAGTAGTCCACGAGAAAGAGAATTTCATGGTCTTTCTAAATATATATTCAGAATTTTATCATGATATGAACTTGATTCATTAAGAACAAATATTTGATGGAGATCAAAAACGACGTTTGTACAAAACAGTATTTTCTGACATATGTATAAATATGTTTGCTGAGTTCTTGACCATATAAATGCAATCGAAAAGAATCGAAAGTAGGTGGTTAGAATCAGAATTTGATGCTCTTTCTAAATATGTTCCTGGAAGTTTCCTATGACTCTCGTCTAGTCAGCTGTAAGCAAAGACTTGAAAAGGTAAAAGTGTCATTTGCAACAAACAAAGCGCGCCCTTTTCTTTTAATTTGCAATTTCTCTAAAAGGTAGTACGGGATGATTTTTATGTTCTATAGTTGTAGAGAATTTAATATTCTACAAAATTATGGGTTGCAATATTCTATTACTCAAAACAATCAAAAGTTACAAACATTTTTCGAAATGCTACTCTTTACATGTGATGACTTTTTCAAAATAATCGAATTTTGAGAATTTTGCTACTTACAATGCAACAATTTCTGATGGTTTGAGGTCATATGTAAGCAATAAGGAAACTTGAGCATTTTGTACAGCAAGCTTCGCTCTACAAACTGATGTAAACAATGACTTTTCTCTAATTTGAACTGAGGCATTTTCAATCAAAATACAAAAATGATCTGTACAGAATTATCTGTACAAATGTTGTTTTTGATCTCCATCAAATATTTGTTCTTAATGAATCAAGTTCAAGTCATGATAAAATTCTGAATATATATTTAGAAAGAGTATGAAATTCTCTTCCTAGTGAACTACTTTTTACTCTCCTTTGCAAACTATAAGCGGTCGAAAACGAAAGAAAATTTTTGTACCAAGACTTTTTACACGTAGGTTAGGACTTTAGAAAATCAATTCTCGACGAAAGTCTATAATACACTGATGGATATTCAATTAATGCTTTTTTATTGTTTTGAAAGTAAAATTAACAATTCTTTGAGCATTGGTAAAACTACTTCATTGATTTTACTTTTATTTTGCTATTTTTTTATTTATCAAAAAACTGTTTAAAATCAACGCCTTTGACATAACTTGATATCAATAAAATTAAAATATACGATTATTGGGATTCGTTTTCACTTCGATATATTTAATTTCATGT